TAGTAGTTAGTAGTAGTAGTAGTAGTAGTAGTAGTAGTAGTAGTAGTAGTAGTAGTAGTAGTAGTAGTAGTAGTAGTAGTATTAGTAGTTGTAGTAGTAGTAGTCGTAGTAGTAGTAGGAATAGTAGTAGTAGTAGTAGTAGTAGTCGTCGTCGTCGTCGTCGTCGTCGTCGTCGTCGTCGTCGTCGTCGTCGTCGTCGTCGTCGTCGTCGTCGTCGTCGTAGTAATAATCATCCCATTTTTAGGGAGAGGATGAGGAGGAGGTGGAGGAGGGGGGGAGGAGGAGGAGGGGGAGGAGGAAAATGAATTGGAGGAGGGACCCACACCAAGGATTTCTCAGGATTCCTAAGGATTCGCAAATATTCTCAAGGATTCCTGAAGGAATCCGGAGGAATCCGGAGGAATTCCTAAGGATCCTAAGGAATCCTAAGGATCCTAAGGAATCCCAAGGACCCTAAGGAATCCTAAGGAACCTAAGGAATCCTAAGGGATCTGAAGGAATCCTAAGGGATCCTACGGAATCCTTAGGAATCGACGCACTTCTGAAGAAGAAGGAAGTACTTCAGAAGATCCCATGGTTGTAATTGGTCCCATTTCTGGTTGCAATTCTTTCCGAACGGTTGGAATTGGGACCAGTCGGTTGTAATTCGTCCCATTTCGGGGGGGAACCCCGGATTCCGGAGGAAGAGGGGGGGGGGGGGGGGGGGGGGGGGGAAATTTTCCACAGTAAAGTGGCGGTGGATCACGCTCTCTCTCTCTCTCTCTCTCTCTCTCCCTCTCTCTCTCTCTCTCTCTCTCGCTCTCTCTCTCTCTCTCTCTTATTTTAACACGTCCCCGGCCCCCCCCTTGGCCTTTCACATGCCGCGGGTCATGATTTGCGCCCCCCCCTCTTGGACGCCCCCATTCTGGACGCCCCCGAAAAACAGTATGGAGACAAGACCAAAAGGACCCAGGGATCTCCGAGGAACGCGAGGCAGATGGGTCGTTCAAAAGCCGCCAGGAAATATAACCAAAGAATCAACGGAAATTCTGGCAAAGAAAAGACCGGGGAACCCCTTCGAAAGGAAACAAGACCAGGGGACTCCAGTGAACCCTGGCGCGACCGGGTCCAGCCCCCTTGTTCCTTCAACAGTATGTAAGGACCTCTTGGGCAAAGCTTAATCAGGGAAAGTCATTGGGAAAACCACAGGAATATGATCCTGGCGAAGGGCCCAACCATATCCAGCTGCGAGTGCCGCGAGGCAAGCGAGAAGAAGGATGGGGACGAGCAAAGGGGCGGACTGGGGCGCATGTCCTGGCGAAGTCGGCGCCTTGCGAGCTCAGCTTTCGATAAAGCTCCCTTTGCGGCCACGGTCCTCGAAATGAGTGTGCCGAAATGGGCGGGCGAACGCATGCGGACCTTGCCGCTGAGGCCTTCGGTGGAGCTCCATGCGGTGACCACGACCCTCATGAGGGGTGTGCCGAACTCGGCGGTGGGACGAATGCGGACCCTGCCACTCAGGCATTCGTTGAAGCTCCCTATGGGGCCACGACCCTGGCGAGGGGCGTGCCGAAATGGGCGGGGGGACGCATGCGGACCATGCCGTTGGGGCCTTCGGTGGAGTTCCCTGTGGGGCCGCGATCCTCGTGAGGAGTGTGCCGAACTTGGCGGTGGGACGAACGCGGACCCTGCCACTCCGGCATTCGACGGAGCTCCATGCAAGGCCACGATCCGCGTGAGGGCTGTGCCAGAACGGGCGGGGGGACGCGTGCGGACCCTGCCACTCAGGCACCCGTTGAAGCTCCCCAGGGGGCCACGATCCTGGTGAGGGGTGTGCTGACATGGGCGGTGGGACTGGTGCCTTCGGTGGAGCCCCCTACGGTGCCACGATCCAGGGTCGGGGCCCTCTTGCAGAGCACTTACATTCCTCAGCAGTAAAACCTCGAGTGGACCTGAGGACATTCCACTCAGTGCATACGGCACGGTGGCGGATCTCTTACAGAAGGGCCTCGCCGGGATGGAAGGCGTCCTCTTCTTGAACGAGCGGGACGAAAGGATGGTGCTTGAGCGGGAGGGGTTGCGTGTCGTCGAGCAGGCGCACTCCGGGCTGACGCCCGGGCAGAGATTCACTTTCTACGACCACGTTCACACAACTGGGATGGATGTCAAGCAGCCCCTCGTTTGCAGAGCGTGCCTCACCCTGAGCAAGGACATGACCTTCAGGGACTACGCGCAGGGCGCGTACCGCATGCGAGGCATCGGCCAGGGCCAGGGCATCGAGCTGCTCGTAACCCCAGAGGTGATGGCCATGCTGCAGAAGGCGCTCAGCGGTGTCGAGGGCGTCAGCGAGGACGCCCGTGTGGCCAGAATCGCCAAGCTCCGCAGGAAGCCACAGTCGTTTGCACAAAAGATGGCAGTAGATGTCATCTCCTGGCTCCTGCTGAACGGCGCCCGTGCCGAGGAGAAGAAGAGCCAACTGCTGTGCCAGCAGGACCTGCACAACTTGTGGCGCGCTGCCGCGTGCAGCTGCCTCGGCTCGATCCCCAGCGACGCCGAGATGGGCAGGTGGCTGGACAGTGCCAAGACGCAGGCCGCGCTCCGCGAGCTGCGCCTCGACGTGGACTTCGCCGTGCCCGCGTCGCTCCCTGGCGAGGGCGGCGAGAGCACCGTCCAGCGGCTGAGCAGCGACATACACAAGCACGTGCACAGGGGCCGCCCCGGCGAGAGCATATGGCGGGACGAGGAGGCGCGCAACCAGGCCTGGCAGGAGGCCAGCGCGCTGCTGAAGGGGCTGCAGGCAGAGGAGGGCGAGTCCGGGGAGCAGGACTTCGCACTCAGCGGCGAGCAGGTCCAGGAACAGGAGCAGGAGGAGGAGCAGGAGCAGGAGGAGGAGCACGAGCAGCACGTCGAGTTTGAGGAGGAGGCCGAACGGGAGCTGGAGGTGCCCGCCGAGCAGAAGTACTCGCGCGACAGTGAGGCCCCCATGCCGTGGGCGCTGCGGAAGCTTACCTGTGACCACGGCCGAGGCGGCCCGCCTTTCTATCCGATGTCGGAGTTCGCCGTCAACAAGGGCATCCTGAACACGTCCAGTGCCCCTCTTGGCGGGCTGCCCGGCCACGTGCTGCTCAGCGAGAACCACTACCGCCCGTCCTGGCGCCTCACGTCGGTGCGCCGGCTGCGCAACGTGGTGTGCTTCCTGGAGTGGGTGCCCGCAGAGGACAGGCTGGCGCGCCTTCGGTGCGACGCCCTGTCCAGCGACCAGCGCGCCAGGCTCCGGGGAGCTTTCGAGCTGTACAGGCCGGGCGGGCGCGGGGTTCTCGACGGCCCAGAGGTGCGGGCGCTCTTCCGCGCCCTGGACTTGGACCTGGAGGGCGACATCCTGGCCGGCGGCCTGGAGGGGGGCGGGCCGGTGGACCTGCGGCAGATCGAGGAGCAGGTCTCGTCGCAGGCTTTCTACAAGATGCAGCGCGGCCGCTACTTTGTCGCCCTGTCCCTGGAGGAGGCTGAGCACCTGAGAGGCTGCATGCACCTAATGCGGCAGAGCACGTGGCCAGCCGGCTGCGGGCTCGCCCTGCGCTGCATCGGCAGCAAGGAGGCCGGACTCAGCAGCTCCGCCCTGGACTCCTACGGCCCCGTGCACGAGAGCACCGAGCTGAGCTACCAGCTGGAGGCCGCAGAGCAGCTGCTCCGCTTCCTCAACAGCGCCTCGGACTTCCAGCCACGGGAGCTGAACATCCTGCTGCGCTCGCTGCAGACCACGCAAGTAGAAGACAGGTTGCCGTGGTGGCTTGACGTGCGAGCCTGTCGCCGGCGTCCTCAGGGGGGCTGGCGGCGGCTGCCTCTCGCCAAAGTCTTCGTGACGGCGGATGAGTTCGATGACCTCGCCACCAAGGCCCTGCTCTCGCGCGTGTGCCTGGCGCTGTCTGTGCAGCACCTGTGGCCCTCGGACGCGTTCCGCTTGCTGGACCGCTCTGGGCGTGGCGCGCTGAGAAGGGCCGACCTTCAGGCAGGCCTGGAGTCCCTCGGCGTGCAGCCCAGCGGCAGCCCGGCTCGTTGGTCGGAGCAGGTGGATGCGTTGTTCAGGCTGCTGGACAAGGAGGGCAAGGAGGTGGTGCACATAGAGGACTTCCAGGCCGCGCTGGAGCTCGAAGCAAGCGACTGGAGAGACTCCAGGCCGAGCCTCCAGCCCAGCGCCCAGCCGCCTGGCCGCGGCGCCTCGGAGTCCAAGCAGCAGGCGCAGATAGGGGTGCAGCCCCGCGGAAGCAGTGAGGCAGTGCAGCCGCCTGGCCGCGGAGCACCCAGCGACGACCCCGACCTCCCTTTGATCGACCTCGGCTCCGAGTGTGCCTCCGACCCGGCTGCGGGTGCCGCGGACGCACGGGCCTCCGCCTTCCGGTTCCCCGCGGAGCCTCCCGCTGCACCCGCGCTGCCCTTGGCCCCCGCCGTGCACCCCACGGCCTCCGCACCGACGCCGGACTCCCCGTGGAGCCTCCCGGCCACCCCCGAGGAGCAGCGCAGCCCTCTGCCCCGCTCCTCGCTGCTGCCCGCCGGCGCGAGCGTGCGCCTCACCCCGGACATGTGCGAGCGGATGCAGAGCGGCCGCTTCAAGCTCAAGTGGAAGCCGCACGGCGCGTTCCAGTCGGTGTGCACGACGGCCGGCGCCCCGTCCGAGAAGCAGCTGTCCATCTGGCGGCCCGTCGCCCCTCCGGCCGCCAGGGGGCTGTTCGGCACCCCGAAGGCCGGCGCCACCGTGGTGAGGGAGCTCTCGGCCTCCCGGGTGGGTCCGAGTAGACGGGGTCGGAGGATCGCGCTGCAGCGCCGATGCAGCGGCGATGCGGCTCGATGCGGAGCCGGAATTTCCCTGCGCCGTGGTCGCCGATGCATCGCCGACGTATCGCCGATGCATCGCCGATGCGTCGACGATACATCGGCGATGCATTGGTGATGCGGCGCGATCCTCCGACCTCGTCTACTCGGACTCCATCTAGGAGGCCTCTAGGAGCGCATCTTCCTCGGCCACTACGCTTGCGCCAACTTCTCTGCTCCTGCGGGCGCGCGCGTCCTGGAGGTCACGGACACGAGCCAGAGGGGCCTCTTCGCCAAGCCCAACCGGGCCTCGCTGAGGCGCTTCGTCGACGTGTTCTTTCCACACCCTGCGCGCTTCCGCCAGGTGTGGAGGAAGTCAGAGAAGGAAAAGGTACATACCGCTACCTTTCGGCCGTTTTCCCCTTTTTGGGGCCTCCTGGGAGGCCCTCGTCGCCACCGCTGGATTCGCCTTGAAGTTCTGGTCAGAACGCACCCTGGGAGAGGTCCCAGGGGTAGCGGTATCGGTACCTTTTGGTTTCCCCAGGAACGCTTCCTGCAACCCGTCCACTCAGCTGTTCATCTGGGAGCCGATCCCGCCAGCGCAGGAGTACGTGGCGTTGGGCATGGCCGCTACGACGAACGGCGAGCCGCCGCCTGTCGAGAAGGTGCGCTGTGTGCCCAGGCCATGGGCCGAACCCGTGGCTGGGAAGCTGGCCGCCAGCCTGTGGACAGGGACGAGCGTCGATGGCTCCCACGTGAGCCTCTGGACCGTGGGCGGATCCAAGGCACTCTTCCGCGCGACCGCGACCGCGGACGCCTCCACGGCAGCAGCAGCCCCGGACATGTTCTCCATGCCCGAGGAGAAGTTCTACGCCTCGCTGCCGCCCGAAGCCTGAGAGGCCGGCGACGCGCCGCGCCCAGCCCCCCCCCCTTCATGTGCGCGCAGCAGCCGCGCGGAGGCGCTTGCGGCACTCGACGGAGGAGGAGGAGGAGGAGGAGGAGGAGGAGGAGGAGGAGGAGGAGGAGGAGGCGGAGGAGGAGGAGGAGGAGGAGGAGGAGGAGGAGGAGGATGAGCAGGAGGAGGAGGAGGGCGCGGAGGCGCCTGCGCCTGCGGCGCGGGCTGTCGTCGCCCCGTGGGCAGGCCGGCCGGAGTGGCCGAGGGAGCCCGCCTGGCCAGGCGCAGCGCGACGGCCGCAGGCGGGGCCTCGCGCCGCGCGCGGCCATCGCAGCCGCCGGCGCCGCGCGGGGCGCTCGCCATGGGAGGGCAGCGGCGCCGTGCAGACGGGGCCTGGCGCGATCCCGGCAAGAAGTGCCTCCCTCGACTCGCGGGAGACAGGCGCCGAAGGGAGCAGGCCGGAGGCAGGCCGGGAAGGACGATGCGTGCACGCGCAGCGCTGCAGCAATCAACTGAAGACACCCTGGGAGCAATTTCGGAGCAAGCGGGAGGCATACAGGAAGTAAGATCAAGGCAAGCTGGAGGCAAGATGACGGTAATAGAAAGACCAGTTGAATGCAAAGGCGAGCTGTACGAATTGCTACAGGGGGAAACCAATCAGTTGTGGCCCAAGCCATGCCGGCTCGAGCCGTAATTTCGGCGGCAGCATCCCGCTCCCACCGTCCCTCCCCCTCCCTCTCCGCCTGCCTGCCGCACTGGAGCGAGTCATATTCCCCAGGACCACCTCCGACAGCGCCAGGATCGAACATGAGGCGTTCGAATCCAGAGCTCTGGCGCGAGCCCGTTGCTCAGGCAGGGCGATCGGCGTGTGCGCGGCATGCATATTCGCCACGCTGTGCATACTCTGCCCGATGCTGCCGGGCTGGTCGGACGACCCCAGCGAGGCGCCCGTACCGCCGGTCATGGCGCAGCCGAGGGGCGCTGGCGGTGACGCCTTGCCGCGGCTGTGGGACGCCGCGCTGCGGTGTAAGCTGGACATGCCGCTCGAGTTTACCGGCGGCGTTGGCAAACGGCTGAAGAACATCATATGCGGCATGAATGCAGCTGTGTCGAAGGGTGTGAATTTCGGCGGTGTCGTGGCGCGCATCATGGCGGGAACAGCATGCACGGTAAGCCGTGGCCCTTGGTCGTGGACGGTGTTTTCGGCCAGGGTTTCTAGAATAGCACCTTCATCGGCAAGAACCTCATATAGAAGTTCGCAAAAGGACAAGGACGTTCGCGAGGTCAAGAACCTGCATGCCCTCGCCCAGAATCGGAGCTCCCTGCGTCCGTCGGACAACGTGTACCTTAACAAGTGCGAGTTCTC